TTTCTAAAAATATTTTTGTAGTCTCGTGTTCAAACGTGTGGATATGTGAAACCATATGTAATGAGGACGAAGTACCCAGCCATGAGTGTCTTCAAGGATATTCTAATTTCATTACAGATGATAATTTGTACTTTTACCCTGTATTAGGTATTATTATATATATATATATATTTTACTTAAGTTAATTACAAAAATTATTAAATCTGATGTTTTTTTAATAATGTTTTTTTAGACGATGGAGAAACTATTGTTAGAAGAAGCTTGACACAGGACGCTGAAACAATAGCATCTGTACCTTTCATGGTGATAATCAAGGTCAGATAAATGTAATAATTCTTGAAGTTTTAAAACATTATAAATGAGAAGTTATACATATTATGTTTGTATGATATACATTTTATTTTGTTTCAGAGAATATTCGATCCATTAATAATAATAGAAATTCCAATCAAAAGAGCGCAAAGGAAAAACTGTCACTTGAGGAGGAGGAGATGCTAATATTAGAAGTCCAATGCAGAGAACCACTATGGAATTTTAGATTACCTCTCATTCAAAGAAATTGCAGAATTACAAGAGCTTTGTGGGAAGAAGTTTCTCAAACTTTTAATGGTTATATAAATGTCTATATTTATAATATTAAAAAAATATGCTGAGTGTTTCGCGGGTTTTATCTCCGTGTGTAAGTTCATCCTTGGATACTATCCAAGCATCCATAGCATCCAAGGATGAACTTACACATGGAGATAACCCGCGAAACACTCAGCAAACTTGAAGATAGTACCCGTGGAAGCCTCAAGAATTTAAAAAAATATATTAAAACAGAATTTTTTACAGGGAAATTAAGCGCAGCTGGATGTAAAAGCAAGTTCAAGAATTTTCACGACACTTATAGGAGACTTGTGAACGCTGAGAAACTACCAAGTGGATCTGCTTCCAAAAGCAACATGAGCAAATGGAAACATTATAAAAGTATGGAATTCCTTCGAGATAGTTGCTTACAGAAAAGGTTAATAATGCATTTGTATGATTTCATTATTTTAATACTAGAAAATTATTTTTGTATTAATTTTTTATATTAAATAATAAATTTTATTTTTTACAGTACGATTTCTAATATTAACGATGGAGACAGCAACAGTATTATCGAGAATGATAATGAATTAGATTGCCAAGATGCGAATATGTTAGAAGTTACTAATAATGAAGATAGTCAAGATACGAGTATATCAGACAGAGATCAAGATCATGTAAGAAAGAGAAGGCGAGCAGAGTCACAAAACAGCTACTTAGAACGTATAGCAGACGCTTTATGCCAACCACTCCTGACATTGTTCTTCCACCACTCCCTCAAGAAGACCATATAGATGCGTTCTTAAAACTGTTTGGTCATAACTTAAGAAAGTTATCGCCAGAAAAACAAAATGAATGGATGCAACGATATTTAAATATGTCTTACGAAATGTTAAAAGAAAACCAAAGATATTAATGAAATATTAACTTAAATATTAAATTAGCTTAACAAAAATTTTGTACTTTAAAATTAAACTTAGTTTTTATTTAAATTATGGAGATAATAAAGCGTGAAATTATATTTTGTTTTATGTGTTAAATACAAAATTATTAAAATGTTGAAATTACATACAAAATACAGTATAAACGTTATAAAATGAAATATTTATTCCTTTGTTTATCAACAGTGTTGAAATTGCCAAGGTATTGCTCCCTCGCTATTAAAGTATTCACAAAAGTCATCCCGAATTCTTGCAGCTTTCCGAGAACTGTTATTTGTACTACACCTTCTTATATCTTGAAAAGCAGAATTAATGTCTATATTTCTCCTCCAGGAACCTTCTATTAAACCATCGCAACATCTCGATCAACCATGTTTTCAGTGATATATTCATTGACTCCAATATCTTGTATACGAATATAATTATGAAGACACACAATAGCTTGTACTATTTTCATTGCTGTTTCAATTGAACAATTTATTGGTCTTCTTAAAATTCTCCATTGACTTGATAAAATGCCAAAAGCATTTTCAATGGTCCTCCTTGCTCGACTAAGACGATAATTGTAAATAATTTTGTCCTGATTCAAACCTTGTTTTCCTGGGAAAGGCCTCATTAAATACTCAGTAAGTGGAAAAGCTTCGTCTCCAACTAGCACGTAAGGCATAGAGTTTCCTTCGAAATAAAATGGTTTTGGATCAGGTACATTCATTTCATTGGTTCTGAATTTTTGGCCAAGAAAGGAGTCTCTAAATATTCCACCATCACTGCGACGTCCATAGGCTCCAATATCCACAAAAGTAAAAATATAGTTTGCATCACAAACAGCAAGCAAAACAAAACTGTGACTGTTTTTATAATTAAAATATGATGATCCTGCATTTTCAGGACACTGAAAAAAAAATATATAGTGATTATTTTAAAAATAAAAGTCCTTTAAAAATAAAAATCTATTTTAAATTTTTTCAGTAACTTACTTGAATAACAACATGTTTACCATCAATAGCTCCTATACAATGATTAAAATTCCATACCTCTTCGAACTCTTTAGAAATATTTAACCATTTCTTTTGTTAAAGGATATGGAAGAACATGTTTAGAAAGAACAGACCACAATGCATCACAAGTTTCTGAAATAATATTGCTAACTGTGGTTAGTCCGAGGAGATATTGGTAGCTCATGGAAGTCATTGAATCACCAGAAGCAGAAACCTATAAGAAATATTTATAATAAATATTTTAAATATAAATAACATATTCTAACTTTATTTTTTATTTATTGTGTTTTCAACTTACCTTAATGTCATGCATAATCTTTCACTGGCAGATATTGGTTCTCGAGTTAATACTTGTTTTGTGATTAAAGGTGCTACTTTGTATAATAACTCTTCAAGTTGAATTGAATTCATACGAAAGTAATTTCTAAATGTACTTATTTGCTGTGAAACTGTGGGTAAAATTGCATTATAAAATCCATGTTCGCGTCTCATTTGAAACAATGGATTAATCCAAAACTCTTTTCTAGTATAAGGTCGTTTCCTTTTTCTATTAAATCAAAAATAACTGCCGATATCGCTAATCTTTTTCTCCTTTCTCTCATATTATGATTATTTATAATTTTTGCACACTCCGTTATCCAATTATATTTTTCTGATTGTGACATTGTGCGATTATATATATTTTGGAGCACCTGTATAGAATTCTTCAGCTGACGCTACTACATTAAAATCGCGTCGCTGGAAAACCCTTTCATGTTTGATATTAGTCGCTAGCGACAAATCCAGTCACGTGATTTTTTTATCGCTCAAAACGAGCGATGAGCGACGCATGAAAAGGTACCTTAACGCTAAAGGTGCCTACTGATGGACGCGGCAAGTTGCCGCGCGCGGCAGTTCAGAAAGAACTAGATCTAGGGGCTTCTGAATCACTCCTGCGTTGCCGCAAGTGAAGTTGGAATAATCCAACTTCACTTGCGGCAACGCGGGAGTGGTTATTTGTGCACATTTCAAAATAAAATTGAAACGATGGCAGGAGTAAATGTGGAGATTCCAAAGGTTAGTGTATGTTATTATATCCAAATATAATATAAGTTTAATATAAAAAAATATTAAGAAAGCAATCGCGAAGGTAATATATATGATTGTGCATAATTCAAGATTGGAGGTTAAGTGTATGTTTTGGTCGTTTCGGAAGAGAAAAACGTACCGTAACATGTGCGTACGAATCTATTTCAATTCTTATAAACATTTATGACTTGGAACCGAACTTTAGAATGACACATCGGGTGATATAATTGATTTTTTTTTTATGGCAGAAAGTATACACATGCGGATTATGCGAAATAATTCTTGGGGACCTTGAGGATGAAGAAACATGGTCCCATGAATGTTTTGCAAATTATTCAGAGATTGTTTTTGATGTGAATAGCTTGTATTTATATCCCAAATGTGGTAAGTAAAATATAAAAGGTGAAAGTGACCGATATAATACTATTTGAGCGAATGTAAAAATTTAAATATCTTGTAGAAGATGGAAGCATTGTGCGCCGAAGTGCGATTAATGGAGCAGAGCAGATTGTAATAGAATCGCCTCTTCCGACACAAGAGCCGTGCCCAGTGGAAAACCTGGAAGAACTTATCATTACAGAAGTGTCGGCACGAGAACTGTTATGGAATCAAAAACTGAGTATAACAAAACGTGACAGGCAAACTGTACAACAACTTTGGAAGCAAGTGGCTAATGCGACGAATGGTACGTATATATATTTGTGTGTGTATGTGAGAGAGAGAGAGAGAGAGAGAGAGAGAAGAGAGTAGTTAAAGAAAACTCAATAGAATTAAAGTGATATAACAGTACGATTTTATTATTACAGGCGAATGTTCTGTCGATGAGGTAAAAAAAAATGGAAGAACTTAAGGGATCGTTACATGAAAATAATCTCTCTTGAAAAGTTGCCAAGTGGATCAGGAAGTAAACCATCTCGCAGAAAGTGGCAACATTACGAATTGTTGTCTTTCTTACGTGACACTTCTTTGGAAAAAGAGTTAGTATTTCACAAAAGCATTCACTGCAATACTAAAAACAGTTAATATTGATATTATTTCATTTTATTGTATTTCAGGACAGTTTCAAATATGATGAGTCGTGAGGAAGACACTAGCAATGATGACACGGAAATCCAAAGTGTGGACGTCGTAGAAGTCAACGGTGCGATTGATGCATCAAAAAGTATTTCGTTCATAAGCTGTACGGGCAAGTAAATAAATTTAAAAACAGAAAGAGAATAATAAGAAGAATATGCAATAATAAAATAAAACTTTTGCAGAGTCTACAATGTAGTCGTTATGACAATACGACGCTGCAACGGACCAATCAGAGAAAAAAAATCATATATTCTCTTCTTTGATTGATCCGTCACAGCGTCGTAACATTGTAACGACTGCATCGTAGACCCCGCATTATATTCAAAATTCCACATTAATTATCAACCGACACACATATATATATTGTAGGAAAATTGTACAAATTGAATATCTCACTTGTTAGTACTATTACAGCTAGCTACATCAATTTTGTCCAATAATACAAAATGTATTATTATGTAAAAGTCATTCTTTCATTTTCAGGAATGAAAAGAAAACGAAAAAGTACTGAGCGCGAAGAAGACTTGATGAAGCAGATAGCAGAGGCCTTGCAGACTCCACGACCACCTTTGCCAACTCCTCCTGTTCTTGACGAAGTTGACAATTTTACTTCGATGATTGCCTGCCAGCTACGAGAGTTGTCATCAGTCCGCAGACGCGCAATAATGTTGAAAATTCACGAGCTCTTACGTGCTGAATTATTGCGTAACGACAATTCGGCAACAACAATAATATAACGTAAAATATAATAATATGAATAATATATGTATACGTATAGTAATAAAACGAGACTGATTTTGTTAGTGCAATAAAGCCGAAGCGTATTTATTCAAATAGTTATTACTCAACTGGACCGGGATACCAAGAAACATTAAAGTTATGATTATCTGGGAAAGTAGGAAAAAGAAGTTTTAAAGAATTAGTTTGCATGATTAAAAGGTGTGATTTATTTCCTTTGCATGTGTAGTATACAAATAATGATTATATCTGTGATGTCTAGTATAATATTATAAATAAAACGAAATAATATGCTAATGTATCATTTATCATTTTGCCATGCTACTGAGCCTTCATTATTAAAATATTTACAAAATTCATCTCTAATGAGCATGGCACCCCGAGTACTTGTATTTGTACTACATTTGGAGATGTCCACAAATGCACAACCATCTTCCATAATCGTCCTCCACGAACCTCGTATGTGATCACCCACAGCCGTTTCTTTATCCAACATACCTGGTGGAATATAATTGTTCTTCTCGATATCACTCTTGCGGAGCCAGTTATGAATGCAGATTGTACCTTGTACGATCTTCATAGCAGTTTCCACACTACTAATGATCGGTTTTCGATAAACTCGCCATTGGCTAGCAAGTATTCCGAAACAATTCTCTATCACTCGTCTGGCTCTACTGAGTCTATAATTGAAGATGTGCTGTTCGGCGGACAAGTTATTTTTGCCAGAGTATGGCCTTAGCAAATATGATTTCAATGGAAAGGCTTCATCCCCGACAATGCAGTAAGGCAAAGACGGGCCTCCTTTGTAAAAACTGTCCGATTTTGGGATATTCATTTGACCTGCATTAAGTTGTTGACCGAATCGGCTTTCACGAAAAATGCCTCCATCACTTCGCCTGCCATACGCACCAATATCGACGAACCGGAAAATATAATTGGCATCACAAATAGCTAATAGCACAATGCTATGACTGTTTTTATAGTTGTAGAAATTGGAGCCAGCATTATCCGGACACTGAAATTACACAAAGATTATTATATATTTTTCACATACTGCAAGAAAATTGGAGTCTGCTCGTATTGTTTTTTCTATTTATTTCCCGATAGTTTTTAATATTTGAATAATGCCTGAAAAGAATTATAATACAAGTATTACTTACTTGAATGGTTACATGCTTTCCATCGATTGCTCCAATGCAATGTGGAAAGTCCCATATATCTTCAAAATCTTCTGCGATGCTCCGCCAGTCATCTTCGAATAACTGAGGTGGAAGAACCAAAGGACACAAATGTTCCCAAATAATCTTGCATGTTGTAGCAATAATATTGCTTACAGTCGTCAAGCCTACTAAATATTGATATGTCATTGAAGACATGGAATCACCAGCTGCCAGAAATCTGAAACGTAATGCAAATTGATGTAATGCAACATTTACATTCATATAACTAAAATAAAAACAAAAGATGTTTACCGTAATGTCAACGTCAATCGTTCTGCTGCACTTATCGGCTCTCGCACGACGTATTGTTTCTCTAGATGCGGGCCTACAATGGCTAACAACTCTTCGTATTGCGTGGTTGACATCCGAAAATAATTATGGAACCGCAGATCTTCCAATTTAAGTGTTGGCAGCAAGGCATGGTAAAAACCATGCTCACAGCGTTTTTTAAAAATTGGAGCAACCCAGAAACGCTTCTTTTTGTTGATCCGTCTGTTTTTTGCAGCTAATAACATAGCTAATGATCCGAGCAACTTGTCACGTCGGTCTGCTTCTACATTCTGTTCCTGACTGCACTGCATTGACCACTCATAAATTTTCATTTTTGCAGACATGATATATTGATTATTTAAACTGATAACTGAGATACTGAGGAATTGAGGTTATATTGTTTCGCGACAAACGCGATGACGCCGAATTCGCGCGGCAGACGCGGCAAGCGGCATCAGTTTCAGAAGCCCCTAGATCTAGTTCTTTCTGAACTGCCGCGCGCGGCAACTTGCCGCGTCCATCAGTAGGCACCTTAAAGCTCCGCGACAACTATTTTCTCTCTTTCCCTTTTCATCTCACTTTCTTTACTAAAAACGAATCTTTTATTTTCAAAATGGCATCTTGATTAATTATTGTAAAGTACAGTTTTGAAAAATTAATAATCGCATTGACATCATTTTCAACGATGTATCTCATTAAAATTTAACATGCATACAAAGCAAAATAAGAGTCTGATGCAAATCACACCATACACGGAGAGAATTTTCTCTTATTAGAATTTATCCTGAAAATCATGGTAATCGTGGGATAATATGGTGTAGGAAAAATATTATAAGAGTTTTTTTGATTAATATTTACTACATTAAAAATTATTAATATGAACATAGTAAAATTAATCGAGTACATTTTTTATTTTATTGTGGTAGATATTAATATTTTTATTGTGGTAAATATTAATCAGAAAAATTCTAAAGGTACCTTTTCATGCTGTCGCTCGACGCTCGTTTTCTGCGATGTGATGACGTCATGTAAGTCGCTAGCGACGTGAAATGTAGTTCGATTTTTCCAACTACAAGCGATATTAGCGAGCGATAAAGATTTGAATGGATATCGAAATGGTAAGTATAATAATATTGTTTGATGAATATAATAAACATGTACATATATATTATTATAAAAATATTATTATTAATATTAAGGGGATGCTGGAGCTGTGCAGAGACTTTTGTTGTACATAACCTTGAATATGAGCAAATTTGCTTCATGTAAAAATTCTACAGTTTGTTATGCGCAAAATAAGAGCCAGCGTATGCGAAGGTTGTACAAAATTTTAAGTACATTTTTCTTTTTTTCTAGGCTTTTAACCTTAGTTCCAATTGCACGATATTGTTCAGATATGTTGTCTCGTGCATACGCTGACTCTTATTTTGCACATAACACAAACTGTAGAATTTTTACATGAAGCAAATATTGCTCGTGTTCGAGATTATATACGACAAAAGTCCCTGCACAACTCCAGCATCCCCTTAATTAAGGACATTATTATGTCTTTAACATTATAAGTAAACATAAATTGAGAAAGGTCAATTTCGAGCAACACTTTAACATATCTTGTTTTACATATAAATATAAATCTGTTATTTTTAATCATATAAGTTATGTCAGTAATAATATTTTATGTAACGTACGCAAAAAAACATTGAAGTAAATAAAATATTTGTTATATAAGATATTTTCTAAAATATTTTTTGTAGTCTCGTGTTCAAACGTGTGGATTATGTGAAACCATATGTAATGAGGACGAAGTACCCAGCCATGAGTGTCTTCAAGGATATTCTAATTTCATTACAGATGATAATTTGTACTTTTACCCTGTATTAGGTATTTATATATATATATATATATATATATATATTTTACTTAAGTTAATTACAAAAATTATTAAATCTGATGTTTTTTTAATAATGTTTTTTTAGACGATGGAGAAACTATTGTTAGAAGAAGCTTGACACAGGACGCTGAAACAATAGCATCTGTACCTTTTCATGGTGATAATCAAGGTCAAATAAATGTAATAAATTCTTGAAGTTTTAAAACATTATAAATGAGAAGTTATACATATTATGTTTGTATGATATACATTTTATTTTTTGTTTCAGAGAATATTTGATCCATTAATAATAATAGAAATTCCAATCAAAAGAGCGCAAAGGAAAAACTGTCACTTGAGGAGGAGGAGATGCTAATATTAGAAGTCCAATGCAGAGAACCACTATGGAATTTTAGATTACCTCTCATTCAAAGAAATTGCAGAATTACAAGAGCTTTGTGGGAAGAAGTTTCTCAAACTTTTAATGGTTATATAAATGTCTATTATTTATAATATTAAAAAAATATGCTGAGTGTTTCGCGGGTTTTATCTCCGTGTGTAAGTTCATCCTTGGATACTATCCAAGCATCCATAGCATCCAAGGATGAACTTACACATGGAGATAACCCGCGAAACACTCAGCAAACTTGAAGATAGTACCCGTGGAAGCCTCAAGAATTTAAAAAAATATATTAAAACAGAATGTTTTTACAGGGAAATTAAGCGCAGCTGGATGTAAAAGCAAGTTCAAGAATTTTCACGACACTTATAGGAGACTTGTGAACGCTGAGAAACTACCAAGTGGATCTGCTTCCAAAAGCAACATGAGCAAATGGAAACATTATAAAAGTATGGAATTCCTTCGAGATAGTTGCTTACAGAAAAGGTTAATAATGCATTTGTATGATTTCATTATTTTTAATACTAGAAAATTATTTTTGTATTAATTTTTTTATATAAAATAATAAATTTTATTTCTTTACAGTACGATTTCTAATATTAACGATGGAGACAGCAACAGTATTATCGAGAATGATAATGAATTAGATTGCCAAGATGCGAATATGTTAGAAGTTACTAATAATGAAGATAGTCAAGATACGAGTATATTAGGAAGTATTGAATAATTATCACAGTTTATTTTAAAATTTTGAAATTAGAAGAAAATGGTTTTTAAATTATTTTTTTTTTCAAGATCATGTAAGAAAGAGAAGGCGAGCAGAGTCACAAAACAGTTACTTAGAACGTATAGCAGACGCTTTATGTCAACCACCTCCTGACATTGTTCTTCCACCACCCCCTCAAGAAGACCATATAGATGCGTTCTTAAAACTGTTTGGTCATAACTTAAGAAAGTTATCGCCAGAAAAACAAAATGAATGGATGCAACGATATTTAAATATGTCTTACGAAATGTTAAAAGAAAACCAAAGATATTAATGAAATATTAACTTAAATATTAAATTAGCTTAACAAAAATTTTGTACTTTAAATTAAACTTAGTTTTTATTTAAATTATGGAGATAATAAAGCGTGAAATTATATTTTGTTTTATGTGTTAAATACAAAATTTATTAAAATGTTAAAATTACATACAAAATACAGTATAAACGTTATAAAATGAAATATTTATTCCTTTGTTTATCAACAGTGTTGAAATTGCCAAGGTATTGCTCCCTCGCTATTAAAGTATTCACAAAAGTCATCCCGAATTCTTGCAGCTTTCCGAG